CCCAGTTAATAAAGCATCATGCTCCTGCCGCAGTGTGGATTGGTGTATGGTGCAGCCCAATACTTGCATTTGAATTGTGTTACTGCAGAGCAGATGCCTTAGCTTTTATACCGATGCAATTTAAAAGTTTTGAGAAAAAAATCCTGCGTAGATGAATGAGTACAAAAAAATATTGAGCACCAAAAATTCACACAACTTCCCCATCAGATATCTAATGGTCACCCCCACACATATATCCACACATGTACCCCTTACCACATATATCCTAGGAGGCCAATTTTGTATATTTTTGTGTTAGTTGCACCTCCAAACAGTGGTGTATAGCCACAGGGGGGGACGAGTCCCCCCCCCCACTCTCCTCCAGAACCACCTTCGAGATATGTTTAAATCCGTCGAGAAACTGGGGGGGTAACACTGATCCAATTTCATGTCCAGCTTATTATTCGCTTATTATAACTGAAGACACAGGCATTCTTGACCGAATTATGTTATAATCTTCTGAATTTTGTAAAATCTCACCCCCAAAATGGCATTTCAGAGGCTCTGAATTTCAAAATTTTTCGGGGGGGGAGCATGCCCCCAGACCCTCTTACAGTGTTTGCGCTGAACTTGTCCCCCCCCCCCCTCCCCCACTTTGTAAACCCTGGCTACGCCACTGTCTCCAAAAACGCCTACTTTTGTCCTACTTTTTTACACATTTTCCTACTTTATTCCTACTTTTCCTAAAATTGTAGTCCTACTTTTGTCCTACTTTTCTACACAAGGATGCCAGAAAGCCTGAGAATGTGGAAAACCTTCATCACAAAATACAGTAGTTTTTAGGAGTACATGCACTTTTGAATGTTTGGTGCTCAATGTGGCTTACAGGAACACAAAAATTTGGCAACAGAAAGAACACACAAATAATAAGTTTGCTCCTCCATATATGTAACTACTAAACTGCTTCTTCAGCAACTGATCTTTTGATATCAACAACGTTGGTTAGATTTTTCATGTTGGCTTCCACTTTACATCAGCTGATATTTCTTGTTCCACTGAAAAATGACACAAATCCGATGCATTTAAACTGCATGAAAAACCTAGCAAATAATAAAAACTTTTGCAGTCAATTCTGTGTTACAGTATTATGAAAGAAACAATATGTGCAATAGACCTTACCGATTATTCTCTTTTACCCAATGGCCTCGTTTCCATGTTAACTTATTTTAGCATGTCAGGGGCAGATAAAGAATTATATTCCCATGTTTTCCTGGACGAATTTGTTTCTTGCTGTTCTTGCTGTTCTTGCTGCTCAATAACAAAGTAATTTTCAACCCTATACTAAGCACAAAACATGAGTAAGTATTTGACATGAATACGAGGCCATTGGGTAAAAGAGAATAATCGGTAAGGTGTATTAGGTCAATCACATGTACTGTACCGGTAGTGTAAAATGTATTTTAAATTAGTTCAAAAAATGCAAGCCAAGAAGAAAGCATCTTACTTTTTTCCTGCAATATTTTACATTTAAAATTATTCTTACCTTTCTGCTGTTCAAGCTCCGACCGTTTTTGGAGTTCTTTCAAATTTGCGTTACTCAATTTTTTCTTCACGCTGAGAGAAGGTCTTTATCATTGAAGAATTTCCACTTTAACCAATTCTGAAAGAAATTGCATGTTCAGTTGACATTCTGGAGCTCGTTTAACTGAGATTAAACCGTTGGCACATTAAGCACATTTGCTTTTGAGTACATGTTTTAAAATGCATGAATTTATACAGCACGAGACGCATCTCTCAAGTCGGCCAATTATGACAAGGTTCATTATTACGTTTTTTATGCTTGCGTCAGGACCATGGATTGTAAAATAACATTTATTATTTAAATTTAATAACATTTAAATAATATTTATTATTTGTTATTTTACCATCCATGGTCAGGACCAAGGATGATGGGTAAAATTAATTAGCGCGCGCATTGTGATGTCATTCCACTGAACCTCACAAAAACGTATTCGAAAAAATGGTTCGGGATGCCCCATGCTATAGATTGGAGTAATTTACGAGATAATCAATTACCAAGTCTGTTATATCTGTCTGCTATATTCATATCTTCAGAAAAAAATCCTAAGCGTGTCGCATCTTTATATGTGATAAAGATTTCCCTTGATTTACATAAACTTTAACTTTGATTTTCTCGACTTACACAACGTATTTTTTGAAAATTACTTCGCCAACGAACTTACTAGATCGATAATTTTTAAACCAATTTAAAACATTCGCAGTGCGTGTTTTATCAGACCTACTGTATACTGTATACGCGTTGTTTAAACAACCTGTGACTTAAATCGATGATCAACGTACGTCAATACATATACATACACTATTTTCGGTTTCTTATATAAAAAACTTCATCTATAAATCCACCACTGGTCCGGTTTATGAAACTGATGGAGATTGAGAATGAGAAATTTCACTGCAAGTTCACAGTTTATTTTACTAGGATTAATGCCCATCACCTGAAATATTTAACAATATTGGCACTCAACAATATTTTTTTGCTCATGGAGGTTTGAAGTTTATATTTTGTCTTCACTGAAAACCAACACTCAAAATATTAATTTGAGGTTATTCTGTTTGCTCTGAAATCTTTTGGCAAAGTCTTTGAAACATCCAAAAAGAGGTGACATTGTCTAACGCATTAACCATGTAAGCTGCAATGTACCACAATGCGCCCAACTATTTTATTTTCCTCTGTCTAACCCCATGCAGATGTTTTTTTGGGGAACGTGTTAAAATCCTACGGTGTACACATGCAGTCACTCTAAAAACGCTAGGGTAAAAATTTCCTGGTTTATCTAAAATTAACCCTGTTTGGGGGAACTTAATGTTCCTGGTGAAATTTCCTGGTTAATTCAACTACAATCCTGGTTAATTTTCATCTATAGTCCTGGCTGATTTAAGCGAGATTCCTCGGCTTTAACCAGTAATCTTCCTTAAATTAATCTCGATAGTGATCAAATTAACCAGGACTGTGGTTAAATTACCCAAGAATTCTGGTTAAACTAGCCAGGACTATGACCAAGTTAACCAGGACTGTTGTTAAATTATCCAGGAATTCTGGTTAAACTAGCCAGGACTATGATCAAATTAACCAGGACTGTGGTTAAATTACCCAACAAATTTAACGAGGAACATTAAGTTACCCCAGACAGGGTTATTTTTAGATAAACCAGGAAATTTTTAACCATGGTGTTTTTAGAGTGCGCTCTACTTCATAGTCACAACTGCGAAAAAAAATGGTTCGGGATGCCCCATGCTATAGATTAGAGTAATTTACAAGATAATGAATTGCCAAGTCTGTTGTTATATCTGTCTGCTATATGGAACGTGTACCATGTTCCATGTTTTGAAATCTAATGCTTGTGTCTTGAAGTTCGTCTATGTTCAATTAATTAATTATTCGTACACTGTATATACTTCATAGTGATATGCATGCATGCATGTATATGGTATATGGGATAATAACGAAATGGGCTTACCTCACGATGAGTAATGTTTAATTTTTGAGCGCAAAATACTGAAACAAAGCGCAGTAAGACACATTGCTGTTTAATTATTTTAACGAGTTAATTAATTATGTGTATTTTTAATCTGTGTTAGTGACCAACAGCAAAAATCGACGAAGTCTCTTACCAATGGAATGTCCGTATTTGAACCGAGGAGCTTTACTTGCGACAATTGGAGCCCAACCTGCACCAGCGAAACATTTTACTTTGAGAAGAAAACCAAAATCTGCTGCTTTAAAGGCAGAATTATTTCAAAAAGGTATGGTATGGTCACATAGCAGTGGCACATCAGGAAATATTTTGTATTTATAGAATATACACAATAGTGGACAGTATATTTTGATATTATTCTCAATATTTTGCTTTTAATTAACATTCAGTATTTATTACCCCGCTTTAAAGCGCATATACACTTGCAAACGGAGGTTCACCTTCTCAAGGAAAACGTTCATATCATGTTTAAATCATACCATAATGGCACATTTGCCTTTTTAAGTAGGTTGGCTCTATAACGCTGGATTAAAGCATTCTGTAAATAAACTCTATAAACTTATTGACCATACATGCAGTAGTAGCGTCTGGGCTTAATTTGGTACATTTAACTTTATACATTTAATGGGCTTGGTAGTTCTGGGCGTTCGCATATACGTACGTGGATAGACTGTCTGACTGTGGGTAATACAGTACATTATTTTATATTTTTAATACAGTAGATCACGAAAAGTTTAATCTTTTCACTATCTATATACAGTATATAGATGACTCGTCATCTCGAGGGAAGTTAAAGAAACTAGGTTGGATTTCTGTAAATTAATTATTGATCTTTTCAATATAAATTATCCAATTTTGTTGTTTCCAGCAACAGAATCATCATCTGGTCTCAAACGTTCTCATTCCATGCTCGCTGGATCAACTAACGCTGGGAGTTTGAAGAGATCTGACAGCACTGGTATGTTGGATATCATTAAATACTCAATACTCGGGAGGTAGATAATGCTTTTCGCGCAATTTGATTGGTTACTCAGCTCTGGATATCCTCGCACTATTCACCTCCAGACAAAAACAAAATGTCTTCCCGTCTCGTTCCGAGCAAATATTTGTACTAAACGAAGCTGCGCTTTCGCCAAACATAAAGTCAAGAAAGGCACAAAGTTTTGTTTAACAATTTGTAGAGGTATTCTTTAAAGCTGTTTCTAATTTACAAATGGTATACTTTCGTCGTTTTTTGATCATTTTTGTTTTTTATGGTATATACTAAAAACATTATTCACCAAAGTAGAGGCGAACGCCAGTGCGTTAATTGCTCAATCTATTTGTATAGAATATGTAATTGCTCATTTCAAACACTCATTAATAATTCATAAGCTTATTGACAAATCATGTCGACCATAATATGTCGCGTGCAGTGGCTTTAAACCTGATAAAACACTCCTAATTAGTATTTTTAATATAAAGAATATATACTAATAAGACAGTATCTATTGTTATTTATTAGTCGTGTCCTCATTAGTATTCTTTAAATAAAGAATACTAATAAAGTTAATAAGGCAGTATATCTATTGAATTTGTAGTCGAGTTTGAAGCCGTTTAATAAACTTGCAGGACGTGTTTTATTAGGTCTAAAGCCACTCGCGCTGGCGCTCATGGCTTTAAACATAATAAAACACTCTTGCACGTTTACATAATGCTATCTGTAAGATAATCAAAACGCATATAATTAATAATCAGTAATTGATAAAGCCTCTTCCGCAGGTTTCGTCGGCGGAAGAATCCCAGTAACCCAGGTAGCCCATGCATGAAATGCTTTTGCATGAGGGCTATACGTAGTTAATAATCAAATGAATTTTAATATGAATTTTGTATTCATACTGTAATGTTCCAGGCGTGTGACAATCTCTTATCACGCTAATATTGTTATTAACGATTTTTTGAAGATCGACAGTCAAACTGTGTGAACTGCAAATTGGTAATAACATTAAACGTCTGGTGCATACGTCTGGTGCATTAAACGTCTGGTGCATATATGAATACTGAAAACAATTTAATGTAGTTACGATGATCTGAGGCTAAAACGTGCGCGAATAATTAAATGATAAGATTTGTAATCAAATCATATATAGTATTTTACTATTTTTACGTAATACAATCATCCGGAAAGTAGGTCATTTTGAGCCTCGTTTATTGTACGCTATTTGAGTACGCTATTGAGCCTCGTTTTCGTGTATGCTAGATTAGTTAAATCCAATCCTCTGAATCAGCTTAAAATCGTATTTGAAATGATTGATAATGTGTTTTCAGGTAAATCACCAGTGAAACAAAACGTACCTTTGGCTCGAGTGCACAGTAAAACAGCGCCAACCACAGGCACCTCCGCTTTACGTGGTCTCTCTGCTGCGTCACTTAAACAACAAAATAGAACAGCAAAGGTACTGTAATTATCCTAGTTTATTCTTTTTTATTCATTTACCGAAGTAAAAGATCTTGGTTTCTTTCGTTTCCGCACAGACATATTAATTTTTGAACGAACACTTTAATCTGTAAAATAAATGGTTTGATTTACACTATACTAGCAATAAGACACTGTATGGAGCGTTAAATAGCTGGTTATCTCACCGACATGTTTATTTATTTATTTATTTATTAAACTTTGCCAAAAACACTTAACAGAACAGCAAATAGACATCTAGACAATAAACATGGACAAGAATGGCAGGGACACCACAACAGTGTAAACCAATTACTGTGGGCCTTATGTTACTGCAGCTTTGGTGGAACTAACATTTCGCATATCAAACGAGTTTCAGCTTTCCATCCAGTGTAGCTATGAGATCAGGCGGATTTTCCATTTTGTGCCTGGAAGTCCGCTGCAAATCCCAAGAAAAAAATATAATCGCTGTCTATACGCCTGGCCGACTAATACCGTTGCTGGAAAACGTGATAATTCTTAGGTTACCCCTGGTATTCAAACTTTTTGTTTTACATAAAGAATTTCTTTGTTTTGCAAATTATTTTGAGCTATGTCAATATAATTTCTTTCGCCATTCCCACGATGTCGATTTCAGAAATAAGACTATAAACAACCAGGCAGGCTCTTTACGTCTCGCGTGTGGAGGTGCAGAACGTGGCATTATGCGAGGTTGATGAACAGCAAGCAGTATATTATTGCATTGACGTGTTATTGTAATTTACTTTTTAATGCCCATGCATTGTCTGTAAATCATAAACAGTGTATTCTTTGCATGCAGAAAAATACCAAATCACTTCTATGACCAAATCTTGATTGACATTAGGTTGTGCCCAGACAGCAGTAGATCTAATTTTTTTCTCGTTTTCTGTGAAGTTGTTAGACATTAATGAACAACCCATTGGAGGAGGAGTGAGAGAGGCCAAACGTAGAAAGAAGTTGATTACAGGTAAAACTTACTTTTCTGATTTTTTGCATGTCTTCATCAAATTCAAAACATACGCCACGATATTCGCACAATATATACGGAATAATTTACATCTTTGTGACGTTTGTGTATGTTTCCATGCACGAAATAAGTTCAATGTAGTGTACAAAATGTTGAAGGTTTTTTTGTAGATGGAAATTTCGAGTGTACATTTTATACATTTTTTACACGTGACCAGGAGCAGCTACGAATATTGCAACTATAGGCCCTCTGGCAGGAATCGAACCTGCTGTCATCACCTTAATATAATTACTTGAACTTGGAAGGTGTATGGGTAAATATCAGTTCGTTAGAGCTCTGCATTCACATCGCAGGTTCAATTCCTGCCAGAGGACTATCCTTTGGATAAAGTAACATACCTGTTAATACAGTATTCACGTGAAAATCTTTAGTTGAAGGACTTCAAACAAATCTTTAGTTCTCGAGGTTTTGTTGTTTTGTTCCGCCATATTTTTTCATTATGCTAAGCGCGTGGTGTCAACGCGTCACGTGTGAGCGTGGTATACTACTGTATACGACGCCAGACCTGCCGTGGTATACTACTGTATACGACGCCAGACCTGCCGTGGTATACTACTGTATACGACGCAAGACCTGCCGTGGTATACTACTGTATACGACGCAAGACCTGCCGTGGTATACTACTGTATACGACGCAAGACCTGCCGTGGTATACTACTGTATACGACGCAAGACCTGCCGTGGTATACTACTG